TGGCGTGGGGGAAGCTGGGAGGTGTTACCTTAAAAGTAAGAAAATTGCTTTGGGTTTTATTGCTTTCTTGATAACCTCCAAGAATATCTATTCAATTGTTCAAAAAAGGAAGGACAGGAAAATATCCTAAGGGCTCTACAAGCAGTACATCTTCCTTGTGTGGGAGAGTAAGCAGAAAAGCTGTAGTGGGCTTCCTTGCCCGTGAGGCTGGGGAGGCCCCAGCCACGGTTCCCTGGCAGGACAGACGGGAGGTGATGATGAAGGAGAGCAAGAGAGAGGGATGAAATGGGAGTGCAGGCTGGAGCTGTGGCTGATTTGGCTGGACGTTCTGCTGGGGCGTGGCTGGTGTTCCTGAGGCCCCTCTGAATTCCCTCAGCACCCTTCACTTTTCCGCCCTCAGCGCTCTCTGTCCTTGTTGGCCTGTCTCGTGGCACATGGACACTGGAGCCATGGGCCACTTCAGAGCCAGCATGGAATCAGCACTTCCTATTGTTGCCTGAGAACAACGTGCGATTTGCCGTGAGTCCTCCCAGTTCCGGCAGAGGTCTTGGTCAGGGGTCACCTGCTCCAAGACCGGGTGAGGCGCCCGTTCAGGGTGCTTCTAGAGCCTGCGTGTGGCCCTCTAGCATGGTGCTTAGAGCACCAGGCAATTTCAGGCAGTGTCTTTGTCTCCCTTGTAGCCTGAGTTTATGGAGGGGCCGTCCCCAGCATCCAGCGCGGTGTGTGACACGTAGCATATGCTTCATAATGAAACAGTGGCTGGTGGATGAGCGACTGAACTCTGCCCTTGAGGATAAGGCCAGCACCTCAAGCACCGTTCCCCATGGTGCTCAGCATAGGGCTTTGCATGTCATAGTAGCTGAGTGAATGAGTGCAGAAAGGATGTTCTCAGGGAGCTCCTTAAGACGAAGATTAATTCATAGTGTTTGAGTATGTTGTAAATGCTAGCATAGGTTCTGGGAGGTTTTTACAAAGAAGCATAAAACAAAGTCCCTGTCTTCTAAGAACATATCTTGTTAGAAGTTCAAGTTAAAATAAAGCTATTAAGTTGTAGTACAAGTCATGTAATGACTCAGGGCCAAAATGAGCCGTCCAGATGGGTGTTAGAGTTGGTACCCGAGGTACAGGGCAGGCTCCATGGGCTTGTGACATATGAGTTGCACAGAACCGTGTGCCAGGAAGGGCTCCATGCTGGGGTTTAATACTCTGCTGTTGCCATCTTGAAATTCTTAATAATTTTGGGTGGGGGCTTTGCATCTGTTTTGCACCAGGCCTTGCAACTATGTAGCTGGTCCTGACCCCAGGTCTGAGGAGACCAGGAAAAGCTCCTTGGTAGAGGGGGGATCTGAGGAGGGTTTGGCTGGGTGGAAATGATAGCTGCAGAGCTGAGCTGGAGCTCCCCAGGCTGGGGCTGTCCTGGTGTCAGGCCTGGTGCAGCAGTGCATACCTGCTCAGGACGTGCTTGTGAAGAGCGGGAGGTCAGGGGTGTGGCATTTGGATCCTGAGGCATGCCTGTCTGTGAGGAAGTGGTGGTTCCAGAGGTGGGGACTGCATGGCATGGTCTCCCCCTTGTGCAGAGGAGTGTGCTCACCCCCTGGAGAGGCCGGAGAGCCACTCGGAAAGGCGGCCTGGCCTTGGTTTGCTGCACGAGTTACTGTCCTTTCTGGAATGTGGTGGGTGGACGTCTCATAGGGCTGCTGGGAAGCCCAGAGGAGAAAAAGGACAGGAAACAGCTCTGTAGGCGGGAAAGAGGGCGTTCTTCCCGGGCGCTGAGCACAGTTCCTGGCACTGGAGGGCCCTCATTTGGTGTCTGGTGACGTGTTGGGGCTGAGAGCCCATTCTTAGTGGTCCAGCTAATACCTGTCTGGTGGAGGACAGAGTCCAAGTCATCCACAGAAGCATAGCCCAGGCTTTGTTCTCCAGGGACACACGGTTTCTGTAGAGTCGAGACATTTACACACAAAATCTCCACTCCTCCGGCTCTCTGACGGACAGGGATGTGACGTCCAGCTCTCCCTCCACTTTCCGTCTGTGCCTCCTCAATGCGTTGCTTAGCTTGTCTGGGCACCTACAGCAAAGCAGTGTTGGGAGGGTGGAGAGGGAGCATGCAGGGCAAGTGCCCAGGTCAGTGCTGTACGGGGACGTTGTTTCTGTTATTAAGAATCCAGTCTGTGGTTTGGGAGGTCAGAAAATGGAGGGGATACGTGGGCCAGCAGTGCTCGAGCAGAGCCCCAAGCCAGGGTGAGGAGGGGTGTGTTTTTTTTTTTTATTTTTTTTTTTTTTTTGCTGAGGAAGACTGGCCCTGGGGCTAACATCTGTGCCTATCTTCCTCCACTTTTTTTTTTATGTGGGACGCTGCCACAGCATGGCCTGACAAGCAGTGCATCAGTGCGCACGGGGATCCGAACCCTGGCCGCCAGCAGCGGAGCATGAGCACTTAGCCACTAGGCCACCGGGCCGGCCCCGGTGTGGTGAGTTTAGAGTGAGTGGAAGGTGAAGGTGAAGCGAGCCGATGGAGCTGTCTTGCGTGGGCGGGACTGGGGGTGTGGAGGGGGTGGAGGGTTTGGGGACTGGAGTGGTCATGGTGAGGCTCTTTCAGCTAACTTCCTTACAGCGGCCCCTCCCACTGGTGCTGATCTGGGGCCAAGCAGGTTCAGGGCTCCTGGCGGAGGGGCCTGGCCTCTGCTCTCCCCTGCCCTGGTTTGCACCCTCCTCCTGAAGCTCTCCTCCTGCTCTGTTCTGTCTGTTGGTGTCTGGGCTGTCCTGTCCAGACTCCCTTCTTCCTCCATAATAAAGGGGAAGGCGGGACCAACTCTGGGCGTTCTGGGCATTCACGGTCGCCCCGGCCCAGTGTGGCCTCAGCCCGCCACCCCCTGCTTCCCTCAGCAGAAAGGCTGTCAGGCTCAGCCACTGGAGCGGTGTGATGAGTGACCTCAGGCAACTTTCTCGACCTCTCTGGTTCTCAGTCTCCTCGGGAATACATTTGGTGTAACTCGGCACTGCCAGGAGATGAGGCTGTGCTGGAAAGGGTCTGCAGCAGCACCCTGCTGAGGACATGCTAGGGCAGGGTACTTGCTCGGTGGCCCCATAAGCGTTGGCAGAGCCAGCTGTGACGTCAGGAAACCATGTGGAGACATGTCTCCTTGGGTAGACCTGCAGAGTGTGGGGGATCCAGGCGGGCACAGGGCGGCCTGTTTCAGGGCCTGGCTGACTTGGATCCAGTGAGATGCGGGGTTCAGTTTGTGCAAAGTGGCCTGCTTTTGTTACTATGAAAGGCGCTCACGTTTACCAAGTGCTTCCCACGCCCTGGTATCCTGAGTGCTTTATGTGGCTTGCCTCCTTCAGTCCCCAGAAGTGCCCGGAGGTATTCACTCATCATTGCCATCTTGCAGAAGCAGAAACGGAGCCTCAGCATCTCCCCGGCTGTGGCTCCCAGACAGCCTGGCTCCAGAGCCTCACAGCCTCTCCGTGGGCACTTCCCGCCCCTCTCTGAGTCCCACTGGAATCCTGGGGCCCTGCACTGCAGGGTATTTTGACTGGTCCCCCATCTACTAACTTCTCTAAATGGGGACGGAAGTGTGCATCAACCTGGCTATTCTGGTGAACCTGCCCCAGGTGTGGGAGTTGGGGAAGAGGCATTAGCCTGGAGGCCTGGCTTCCTGTCTTCGGGACTGTAACAACATTCTATAGAGGTAACAGCGTTGACAGGTATTTGGGAAACACCAGTTTTCCTTCCCAGTACATTTGTCGCCGTTTATCCAGGACTTGGTAAACATTCACTTGTCACCTTAGCTTAATTAAATAGAAGAAAAGGTCAGTAGTCTAGAATTTTGGTACATTTCAAATATATTTTATTACTTTTCTTTTTGTCTTAGAAAGAATATGAAACCTGCATGCAGCGCTAATGGTGTCTGACATTTACATAGCATATGACACAGCAGTGCAGGGCGGCGTATACTGAAGGGGCAGCGTGTGGAGGGGGCGTCGTAAGAGTATATTTACAAAGGAGGGGGCTCGTGGTCATCTCAGCTTTCAGAGGGGGACTGCACTGTTTATCACTGAAGAAGGACGTGGGAACCACAGACAGATCGCTTTAGTACTGCTTGTTCTGCTGCGATGAGGGAGAGAAACATAGGTGACAGTTCTCCCTCGTCAACAGGATGTGTGTCCGTAGCTGTATATTGTGCATGGATTCATACATTTTTAAGTTTTCTTCTAAGGTTTTTGCTAACAGTGTCGGGAACTTCACGTGCTTCCGAAGCGTTCAAGATTGAAGCCGTGAACCGTTCACAAACCCTCAGGTTGGAGAGAAGACCTAGCCCCTTCCTTAAAAAGACCGTGTGCTTTGCCATCCCAGGACCTTGGAAATGTTTCCTAGAGTGTGTAAAAATTAACCGGGGGGGATGAAGCACTTTTCTCTAGCAGCCAAACTCCAGGTCCTTGAACAGATGCAGAGAGATCTGTTCCTCCTTGCCCAATGACCGGGGCGGCTGCAGAGTTCCCCCGAGCCTGTGGCGACCCTGGGCCCAGGAAAGCCTGTGGCAGCTGTGCCGAGGCGCCAAGACCTCAGGGCGGAAGCTTCCCGCGCTAGGAACGGAGCAACGCTGCTATGAAATGTCTCAACCAAGCTGCTGTTCCTCCCAGGCGCTTATAAAGCTCAGATGTGCAGTGATGTCTGGACGAATACAAAAAGCATTTTTTTAACAAAGAAAAGGCATGAGTTTCCCCCTTTTCGGTACAAAGCAGCCTGTGATGAAGTCTGGAGCGCAAGAGAGACGGGTCTCACATCTGGAAGCCTTTTGCACACAGCTATAAAATGTAAAAACTGACCCTTGGTAAAAAGTGCTTTGTAACAATATATAATTTGTGTCTTATGCATACTGTGAGAAAGAAAGGGTTGGTTTTTTTTATCTGCAGAGTCCTTTGCTTGTCTCCCAACGGGTGCAAAGTCTTCCCAGCGGGAACTTTTCACCCTACTCTTCGTAGACTCTGGGAAGAGGAAACACTCGTGTAAGTGGTCAGCACATGACTCAGGTGGTGCGCAGGCTGGTGGCTGAGCTGCTTCATGCTTGTCTGCAGGAGTGCCCCCTCCCAGGACTGCAGGAGCCCAGAGAAGTAGGGGGATATCTCAGAGGATGCCGTCACATGGACCACAAAAGCCCACCCGAATCTGGATTTGTACTTTCTAAACAGCTTCCATCTCTGCCATCTCATTTTATCCTCGAAGTCCTATGAAACAAACCCTCTTTGTAGGTGTGGAAACTGAGGCACAAGAGACTTAAGATTTGCCCAATGAACAGTGAATGTCCTGTCTTCAGCATGGGCAGGGAGGGGGCGGGGCAGGAGAGCGTCCCTTCCCTCAACTTCGGCTTGACTCTGTCTATGTATTTTGCCTAAAGAATGCATGTCCTCCAGAAAAACACCAGTCTAGAAGCCGCTGCTTGAAGACTAAAGGGTGGTTAGTGGGGCTGGGGCTGTCACAGAGGCTGTGCCCGGGGTTACTTCCTCTGGTCATTGTCAGGCCTGTATGCATTCACAAGCTTACCGGTCCCCTCACCTCCCAAACCATCTCGATTTAGGTACTGCAGTCCCTTTTCTCCTGCCCTATGGCTGCCCCAGGGCCACACATCACACTGAGACTCCCCATTGCTCCCTCTGCCTCCTTCCTGATTTCTGAGTAAGACACCTAATTATGCATTGAAATCAAATGCCTGATGCTGCTGCTTCCAGTGGCAGCTGGAAGCTCTGGGCTCTGAGATGCTCGGAGTCTCCAGTCTGCCCCCATGGGCTGGCCCACTGCCTTCTCCTTCCTCTACCCGAGGTTCAGCATTCTCTCCCTCTCTGCAAAGAGGACTTCAAGATAGATCCTTTGTCTCCCTTCCACATTCACGAAGACACTTGCAACCTTTTACAGGGAGAGGAGAGGTGGGGAGGGCAAGGGACTGCTCCCTTCTCTCCCGGGGACACCTCAGCATTCCAAGAAAGAGGGATATGCTCATTTTGTAATGAAGTGACGACGGGAGGTACAGGAGGTGCCCCCACTGCCCTCATCATTGGCATTTGCAGAAGTAAAAAGAGTGGCTGCGTGGGCCCACGCCTGCCTCCTCTTCATGGAAGCTGCGCTCCGGGTGGAGGGGGAGGGGCAACGTGCGCCAAAGGCCTGAGTCTCTCCCAGCAGTTGGATGAAGGTGTTCTCACCACCCCCATGAACTGCCCCAGGGTTAGCCTCGTCCCACTTTTGATGACACAGGGCCTGGAGGGTGACGGACAGTGGACGGGACAGGTCCTGCTTTTGCCGTGTAAGCTGCCTGACCAGACCAGAGAGAGGGCTTCATTCCTATCACATTTACAGAAAATAATCTCACGCTCTCATCACTTTCTATTTCAAGCAACTGCAGACAAGGCAGTTCTGGAGACAGCACAAAAAGCTCAGGTAGCGGGGTTGGGCCCAAGTGTCAGCTGTGGGAGAGCTGGTCCCAGCTGAGCTTACGGTGGAAGGGCCTGCTGGGCGGGGCGATGGGAGGGGTGGTGCAGGCACCCGCTGTAGGGAGGGGAAGGTGACACTGAGAGGCTCCCAGGCAAGTCACTCCCCCCCACACCCTTAGCCTTGGGTTCTCCCTCTGCAGGAGGTCACCCGCGTGTGTGTGCTTGTATATGTATACGTTTCCCTGGCCGTGCTAAGCAGGTACAGATGTAAACAGGCTCTGAGTGTGCCAGGACTGGGCCTGTTCCAGGACAGGCTCACCTTGATGTGGTATGGGGGAGCCAGGGAGTTGCCTCCCCTCTGAGGCCAGACACGGACCCCAGGAGATCAGAGCTGGGAAGCCATCTTCTGATAATGGGGAAACAGAGCCCAGAGAGGGCAAGGATCTGGTTCCGGGCTCTCGTCATCTGGCTACTGCTGCTCCCTGTGGTTAAGAGTGGCTCTGATTTTAAATTTCTCTCAAATCGAAGGTCCCTCCCTGCATCTGCATGGGAAGGAGTTTATCAGGTTTCTGGGCAGCAGGGGGCATGGGGCACCTCGAGGGGAGAATATGTTGTTCACCTTGTGGTTGTACCTACAGTTTTATAGTTAATAAACCCAGTCACTTAAGTGGTCATGTTTCACCCCACAAGAATCAGAGAGAGAGCCATGCCAGGTGCTTGCCCAGCCATTTGACAGAGGGAAACTGAGGGTCAAAGAACTTAAGTTACTTAAATAAGAAGAGGAATTAAGACCATAACATAAAAGTTAGAATGAGACAAACTTTAGTTCACAAGAGGATAAATTTTCAATGCTTACAGCTGTCCAACAGAGCAATAGCCTGCTTTGTTAAGTGGTGAGTTCCTCGTCCCTGGGGTTATATAAGCAGTGTCTCGGTATTTGCTTGCTGCGGCTACTATGGTGGGTGTTCACGCATTGGACAGGGCTAGATGGCCTAGAAGGGGTCTGGGATCTGGATCTGGTGAGAAGGTAGGAAAGAAGGAGAGAGGAGGTGGGGCATACCTGCGCTTCTCGTTCCAGGCGTTGTACCACTTGATGAACCGCTTGGTGCTCTGCAGCTTGGGGTGCAGGCAGTGCTCCTGACCCCGGTACCGGGACACGCTCTTGGTGGTGATGCTGAAATGGAACGAGATGGGGAGGAGGATTGAGGACCCTGAATGGCAGCCCCTCAGTGTGGCCTGTGGGTGGCCCTGGTCTGTCCCAATCAGGGCAGTGAGAGACTGTGGCCTCCTCCCTCCTTTCAAGGGAGCCTACCCAGGTGCTCACTCCCTGGCTGGCTCTTTGGAAGGTTCTGGGTGTCCGTTTAATCTCTGACTCCCCATTAGGGTATAACCCTGTATGGAGTGATCAGGTCTCACTTTTCCCCCTGGAGCCCTCAGAGTCTGGGCTAGTTCCCCACCCCCATCTCACCCCCATGCAGAATGTTGTCTAAGGGCTATGCCTCCCTTGGGGAACAAAGGTCAGAGGATGCTTCCAGCTCCTCTGAACCTGGGCTCGAGAGGTGGAGAGAGCTAATACCAGCAAGGTGCACATGCCAAGACCTCTCTCCTTGGATTTGAGGAGCTCCACGGCAGGGCTTGGACACACTCTGCACATGCTATGGTCTCTGACCCTTCAAACCCCAGTTCCCGCAGATCCTCTGCAGATTGTCCGGGGGCTGTGCATTTGTGATCCTGAAGCTAAGTCTTGGTGGCCTTGAAGCCCATTTTGATTCCTGGGCATGAAGGGCAGGAAAATGAGATCTCCCTTCAGGCCTCTATCAGCCAATGTTCCAACACCCAGTGGAGGCCTTGCCACGCAGTAGAGAAGCAGGTGGCATTGTACAGAGTGTAGGGCCTGGGTTTGAATCCCAGGTGTGTCTGTGGGACCTTGGGTAACCTCTCTGAATCTAGTTTGCCCATCTGCAAAATGGGTATAATAATAGGACCTACCTCTTAAAGTTCTGGGATGATTAAAGGATATAATCTATGCAAAGTGCCTAGCGCCTGGTAGATGCACAATGAATAGTTACTGTTATTAGTAGTTGTCATGGAAGATGGGATGGCCAAGGAGAAAGAGAAGCCTTAATGTGAGCTCCAGCCTGGAGGGGGAGGCAGGACTGCTGTCCAGAACTGCTATGTCCTTCTCAGCCAGGGCTGCGCCAGGGTGGCAAGACTTAGGAGGAAGCTTCTGGATAGGGGAGGAAGGATGGTGTTCAAGAATAAAGGACCATCTGGGAGACAAGGAAAGTGAAGGTGAGAGGTGAGGATGTCAGTTCCTGAGAGGTCCCAGCAAGAGCAAGGTATGGAGGAGGACTGGGGTGCTGGGGAATGGGGGAGGGCAAAGAGGGGCAGTTGGAGGTTGGAGCGGGAAGAGCAGGAAGGGAGAGAGAGAGGTCAGCTAGCCCCCACAGGTTCCCAAGGTAAAGTGTCAGGTTGCATGGGCCAAATTCTAGAAGGGAGCAGGGTCACCATGAACTCGGGGTCTCCCAGCTGACTGACAAGGAGAGAAAACCGACTCTTGCCACCAGAGCGGGTGCAGAATGTTTCAGGGCAACCTGTTCTCGTCCCTTCCCTGTGCTCTCAATTTCCAGGGCCCCCAGCATGGCCTCAGCTTCTCGGGGCAAGGACAGGTCTTCTGCTAATGCCAAGTGACTGGGCCCTGACTTCACTGGCCCTGTGTGTGAGGCCTGGTTCTCCCCATGTCCTGTACCTCCCTCTAGGTCTTGAGCATGGGGCCAGGCTTCAGAGTGGTGTCTAGTTGTTCTCCTCCACATAATACCTAGTTCCTCTGCAGGCAGTCAGTGCATGCATTGCTCTTTCTGTCTACAGAAATGCTGCTTTTGCACTTGCAATGAAAGGATGTGCAAAGGCTGATAAAACCCCCCTCCCCAGTTAGGTCAGTGTACAGGCTGAGGATCTCAAATCCTGAAGGTGGGGGCAGCAGGAGAGGATGCTCAGCCCTCGCACCACAGTGCTCAGGTGCTCTGGCACAACACTCGGACTGTGAAAATTGGTTGTGGGGTGAAGACATGAGGGTTTCTGCCCCCAGCAATTACGCAGAAATTCTGGGTCCTGTGCCCTTCTCCTCAGCAGTTCTGGGGTGCCGAGGGTTCTGGCAAGAGCTCAGCAGACATATGACACAAATTGCCCTTTTTAGAAGCTGGACTCCCCTGGACCCTTGGGTGCAAGGACTCCCACTTGCAAAGCAGACTGCCTCACTCAGCCTCATCAAGAGATTTTTGGGGCGATTCAGGGTGAGCTGTAAAACTTGCTTTTGTTCAGCCTTTGTGGCTGAAAACCTGCTTTGGCAAAAAGTGCTGGCCCCTCATCTGATCCCGAGAGTCTCTCAGGAGCTCGAGAGGGGAGACGCCCTCCAGCCCTTCAGGGATGGGGTGGGGACTCCCAGAATGGGGTGGAGGTTTTGGAGAGGGTGTGCGGATCTCATGAGGCCCCTGCAAGTTTTCACATGGCTACATAACGCCTTCTGACATACTTGCCCGGCTGTCAGTTTCCTCTCTATTCTGAAAAGTTTAGCCAGGAAAAAGAGCAAGCCTGTTTACTGAGGATTCTGTCCTTCGGAGATGTGCCTGCACTGCATACCCGACTTCTCTCCTGCAAGGTCTCAGCAACCAGCTGGGTGTGTGGAGCATTTTTCAGCACTTAGAGGAGTGCAGGACTTGACTTGCAAGTCCTTATCATTTTTGGCCCCCAGGCTGGGAGCCAGGAGGGGCTTGTAGCTCCTCTCCCAGCTCATGTGACCCCTGGCCCCCATCAAAAAGGATTTTCTGGCACTTTTTCTGGACTTGGTCTGCAAGGCAAAGGGGCAGGGACAGGAGGTTAATTTAGGTGCCCGGGGAAGGGAGGCAGTGGGGTTCAGCTCAGGCCGCTGGCTTTCCTAATCCTAACTTCAGCCCGACTGTGCAGCCCCCAGGTGGCAGTGGGGCGTGGGGGCTGCCTTTGCAGACTGTGTGGAGGCCTTTGGGCCAGCGGGTCCAGGGGGTGGAAGGCACTTGCCCAGACTGTGAATAAAGTGTGTTCTGTTTTGGGGGGAGGGGAAGAGGGGCAATGGTCCGTGGCAGATATTTGGTAGCTACTTTGCCAAGGGCTCCCTGCCTGGCCAAGAGCGTATTGATGGGGAAACAGTGGTGCTGGCCTCAAGTGGTTAATTGGGAAGACAGAGGAGCAAGGAAACTCAGTGTTCTCTTGCTTTGCCCCAGTTTTAAAAATATTCCCCTCATCCCCTCCAGCCCTGTGGCTCATTAACCCCAGCAGAGCACTTTCCACAGCACTGTTCAGGCTCCGGGACCCACAGGAGTCCAGCTGGTGACGGAAGAGCCAGGATCATTCCCAAAATGAAATCTCTAGAAGCCAAAAACTGGCCATCCATGGTCCCCTGAATGGAAAAAGGATCTGAACGGAGAGTCTGAGGACTTAAGACAATATTTGCTTTAATCCTCTCTCCAGTAACAGGAAGGCAGCACGCCTCACAGTTTGGATGCGAGTTCAGCAGTTCTGGGTGTGTTTTGAGTGATTTCAATCTGAGTGTTGTAAATTGGCACACAGGAGCCATTAACCCTTGATCGCCCTAGAAAGGTGGGCAGTGCAAACACCGAGGCTACCCATTTGAATCCCAGCAAGGGTGATCCTCCTAGAGGCTGTTTCCGCAGCATGGGACAGTGACCCTCTTTCCAAACTCTCTTCCAGACTGTCGTGCCAGCGTCCCAAGGACTCGCTGGGCAATTACAAAGGCTTCGCCAAGGCCTTGCCAAAGGCAGAGAGAAACGTTTGTTAGCGCGACCCAGCCCCATGCTGTGCCCCAGCACCAGGTTAAGAGCAGCGCGCACACGCTCGCGGTGAGGAGCGAGAACTCACATAACCATCTTCTCCTCGCAGTGCGGGTACTTTGGCTTCATTTCCAGCTTCTTCACGTCGCTGTAGCGGATCTTGGGCCCCTTCCGGGAGCACTTGCATTTGGACCCTGCGAGAGAGCGCGCGGGGGCCGCTCAGTTGCACGCGGGGTCTCCTGCTCCGCGACCGCCCTCGGTGCCCACCCAGAATCCCCGGGGGCCCAGGAAGCCTAGCAGTTGGCGCTTGGGTTCTCCAGGACGGGGCAGGACGGCGACAAGGGACCTTCCGGGGCACTCACCGTCCACGCGCGCGGCGCACAGCGCCAGGAGCAGCAGGAGCAGCGCGGCCGTCAGGAGCCTCATGCTGGCCGGCGGGGCGCGGCGCGGGAACAGGGACTCGGGGAGGGCGCCCGCCAGTCCGTGCGGCGGCCCGGAGACGCCGCCCGGCTCGCCTCTCTCTGCCCGGAGCGCGCCTGCCGGCCCGACTGGCTCTCGCTGCGCCCGTCGGTGGGTGCCTCGGGGCTGTCGCTGCGCTGCGCTCTGCGTTCGGCTCCGAGCTCTCTCCACAGCCTCCCTCCGCCCGCCCGGGCCTCTTTTAAATCCGCTCCTGCCCTAGCCGCAAGCGAGCTCATTAATATGCAGAACCACTCGGTGACTCACTGAGATTTCTCAACGCGATGGGAGGAGGAGACCTTCCCCGCCCGCCTGCCGCCTGCCCCGGGACAGAGATCGCAGCGGCGCACTCGGAGCCACGCGCGCACACGCACACACACTCACATCCGCTACCTTCTCGCTCCCGCACACGCTCTCCTTCACGCACTTGCACACCCAGACTCCAGCACTCGCCCACGTCCAGTGCCCCAGCTCCACTGGACAGTACAGAAGCTGCTTAAGGGCACTGCTTTTCTGATTCGCATGATTCCTTCTGGCCAGACAGGCCTCCAGACAGCTGGAGTTCTGAGCTGCTGGGAGACCCAAGCCTGCGGCCCAGATCCTCTGAGAAGACCTGAAAGGGTTTTGGGGCAGGTGCCAGGTGTGAGTGCCAGCAGGCCTGACTCCTAGGGCGTGAGCACTCCCTGTTGGGCCAGCAGTTCTGGCGCCCAGAGCACAAGTCAGGTCTGGAGGGAGGTTGCCGTAGGTTGTACAGCAGCAAAGCCATGGCCTGTGGTCACTGGAGCTAACTGGAAGATTATGTCTAGGGGGAGGTTTGATCACTCCAAGAGGAAGGCTTCCTAAAGTGTGTATGGGGCTCCATGGCTGTTGGAGCTGTCTATGGGGGCAGGGAGAACCAGATGGGGGGTCCTCACTGCCACACCATTCTCCAGAGCTAGGCAGGGGCCCAGTAGGGAGACATGACAGTGATAACCATCTGGATGAAGTCCATGTTCCAGGCACTGTGCCAGGCTGTGTGGTGTAGTGGTGTGGGCCCAGGCTTGGTAACAGAAATTCCTGCTCCATTACTTACCAGTGCAAGTGACTGTACCACTCTAAGGCTTCATTTCCTCATCTGTAAAATGGGAGTATCACAGTGCCTGTCATAGGGCGGCTGTGAGAACTACATAGGATCCTGCACGTCAAGTGTTTAACAGTGTGCCTGGCCCATAGTCGGTGCCCAGGAAATGTTACTTATTGGCATCATTATGATATATATTTATATTTTATATATATTACTTTGATTCATACAAGTCTCCTTCCAAGTTGGTATTTTAATTTCTTTATTTGACAGGCATGGAAACAGGCTCAGAGAGAAGAAATAACTTGCCCAAGATCACATAGCCGGGAAGCAGGTGACTAGGCCAGGAGGTGTCCTGGTATGTGTGGCTACAGAACTGGGGCTCCTGTCCCTGAGCCACCCGGCCTCGCTCCGGCCTGTCTGACCTTCACTTCTTGGTAGGGTGCTTCCCTGGTAGACCTGGCAACAGGGGATGGCTCCGAGGGTCCCTGGGCTTGGCTCCCAGGCCAGAGCTGGAGCCAGGGCAGAAGCTGCCAGGCTTTTCCAGCTCACAGCTCTGTGCCATCAGCCAGCAGCTCCCTGGGGGTGCAAGTGCCCAGAGTGGATCCTGGGGGATGGGGCGGGCAGGCTGCTGAGGGGCAGAGTGGGAAGAATGTGTGCTGTCTCTTCCCAGTTGGAGAGCCTTGGCTGCCTTGAGGGGAAGCAGAGCCATGAAGAGCCAGCAGAGCCCGTGAGCTGGCTTCAGGCCACGTACTGAGTCCTATGCACACACTTGTATTTATATCTATAGTTACTGCAAGGCCAACAGTTAGACATTTGGGTTTATGCAGAAGATGAGTGCAAGGGAGTGATGTTTGGGATTTATGTTAAATTTTTTAAATTTAAAATTATTTTTTCTTAATACAGAAACAGCACAGTTTGTTACAGAAAAATCAGAAAACACAAGCAGAAGAAAACATAAAACACACACACACACACAATTCCACCCACTCAGAGATCTACACCAAGATGCTAACAGTGTTATTTTCCCAAACCCTTCTGTCTTTGCTCACACGCATGTGCACAAATGGGATCAGCGTGCGTGTCCTGTTTAATGACCTGCTTGTTTTACCTGTCACTATATCATCAACATCTTCCCATGTGATTGGTCTTGCTTCTACAGTATCTCTTTTAATGGCGTCATTTGAGGCCATGTAATATAATGGCTAAGAGCTTGGTGTTTGGAGTCAGATTGCCTGGGTGTGAATCCTAGCTACTAGCTGTGTGACCTTGGGCAAATGACTTCATTCTTTTAGGTATTGATTTTCTTATCTATGAAGTGGGGATGGTAATGGTTCCTGTAGCATAGGGAGAATTAAATGAGGTGGTGCATGTAAAGCGTGTAATATCATCCCTAGCACAGAGTAAGTGCTCAATAGGTACTGACTATTGTTATTGTTATTTTGGATGCAGTGTATTCCGTTGTACAAATGTACCACAATTACTTTAACTCATTACTCCCTGATGGACATTTGAGTTGTTTTCAACCATATGCTCTTACAAGCAGTGCTGTGTGACAAATATTCTCATTGCTCAATTTTGGGGTACCCCTTCAAAAATTGG